TTCAAGCACTGAAATCTATATTCTCTTAAACAAACAACATTTGGGTGTTCTATGATTTGCTATAGAAAAGAAAGAAAGAAAGAAAGAAAGAAAGAAAGAAAGAAAGAAAAAGAAAGAAAGAAAGAAAGAAACTTTGAGATTGAGCAAAGAATTACATTACTTTACAATTTTATCAATATAGGTTTTGAGGAGGGAATTGTGCCAAACCTCAGAGCCAGGTCTCTTGCCACACACTGATTCCTTTACATTTATTTAACTGCACCACTCAGGGCAGCTTATAGCACACAAAATTTCAATGACGTTAAAGAAGAATCAATTGAAAAATAAATACGGAGTCAGCAGCTAAAAGGATAATGCTACTAAAGGAAACATTGCTTCGTAAAAGAATGTGTGCCAGAATGAAATGCTTTTCCATAGCCAGTGGAAATTAGTGAGTGGGTGGCTGCAGCTACTGGAAAGGCCCTCTCTCTTAACCCACACAGAAGGGCTTACATCCTAAGTGAGACACAGAGAAGTAGGATTCTAGGCCAATGGCCCATGTTCTTCAGCATCCTATTCCTGAATGTTCACCTGAAGCAAAATGTGAAACAAACATAGGGATTCCTCAGGCAAAACATCCAAGAACATTCTTGTGATGTCAAAGGTGTTTCAACCAGTGAATTTCCTTCAGGAGGTTGTTAAGTATAGTAGTTTAATTGACTGAAATTGTGAATGCTTGTATACATTGCTATGTGTTTAAATTTGATTGGTTGGTGACTGAATTCTAGAGAGTTCTCTAGTAATTCTCATGTGATTGGCTAACATTCATCACATGGGAGGTATCTAGTGAAGGACATGCTCCATTTCATGTGAAGCAAGATGGCTGGGTTTTAGACTCCACTGTGAACACTGCTAAGTTGAATAGAGCGTCGGAGTGCTTCTTCTCTGCTTGAAAGAGAGCAAAGCTGTAGGAGAAGTGGAAATCCCTTACAGAAGCTGCAAGGCATGGCCTAACTGAGATACAGAACGCTGAGTTCTGAGCTCTGGAAAGAGAGGACAATATAGTCATTTGGAAGAAGAAGAAGAAGAAGAGTTTGGATTTGATACCCCGCCTTTCACTCCCCTTCAGGAGTCTCAAAGCGGCTAACATTTTCCTTTCCCTTCCTCCCCCACAACAAACACTCTGTGAGGTGAGTGGGGCTGAGAGACTTCAGAGAAGTGTGACTGTGACTAGCCCAAGGTCACCCAGCAGCTGCATGTGGAGGAGCAGAGACACGAACCCGGTTCACCAGATTACGAGTCTACCACTCTTAACCACTTTACCACACTGGCTCTGGAAGTTTCAAGAAGAGACTGGAGTCCCATGCTTGAACAAGCATGTGACTGTAAATATTGTGATTTAATTCATCTATAAGTAAAGTTTTTGAATGTTAGTCGGGACATTGGTTTACTTTCCAAAGAAGGGTGTCAGTCATATATATGATTTGAGCTTCTTAGCTGTGATTTCGCTACTCTTTCATCAACAGAGGTGGCAGAAGTGTCTACAAAGACACCTGCACATAACATTTTAGAAACGAGCTACCTTTTTTGTTTCCCAGAAAATGAGTCCCAACAGTAGACGAACACAGTTTTAAATTTCTCCTTCAATAATTGAGAACCCAAACCAAAAATAGCCTCTTTCTTGTACTTTTTTTTTTTAAAAAAAAGCTGAAAACTTTCTGCAAAAACCATTTGGAGAAGGTGCAAGTGCTCCTTTTGAAGAATGAGCCTATTCCCTCGGGAACCCTGGGAAATGGCAGGTCCCTTGTCTCCCTTAGCGATTCCAGCAGAAGCGTTGTAAAAGAGGTGAAGGTCAGGGGGAAGAGAAGCACTGAGCGTTTTCTGTTCCATGTAAAACATAAAGGTTGCTAATATGAAGTCAGCAATGGAGCTGGTGTTAATTTTTACTCTCTCTCTTTCTCTCTCTCTTTACAGTTCTGACATCATATTCCTGCCGGGTGACTTCATGGCTTCAAAGGTGTTGTGAGGGTCAATTCTGGGCAGCTTCATAGAGCTTGCTTTTTCTCCTCTTTCCACTCTGCGAAACGAAGTTGAAGGGTGAGTTTTCGCCGTCGCCGTTCAGATGAATTCTTAAGTGTTTAGTAAGTGCTAGTCCACCTTGTGAATAACACCTTGTAAAACCGTATCCCGGCCTGAAGGGGCACCTTTCAGAAGTCGGGGAGGTTAGGAATACAGTTGTAACTACAGAGACAGTCTGAGCTGAACCAGGAATGCCTTATTTGTTTTTTCCACGGCCCCTTCATGGCTTCCTCCAGACGTCCCAACCTGACAGCTACACCTATTTATAACAGCCCCCCCTTTGGAGCTGACTCTGTCCACATACATAAACATGGGCAACCAGAAAGGAACAAACAGATTCACGAATATTGAGTCACACAGCAGCAGTGTTCCCCTAACTTCAGATAGATGGAACACTTGGTCCTTTTCTGGCATTCCTTTTCACTGTTCAGAAACCCAGTTGTCCTCCTCATTAGTTCCCATCATGCCTCCAATTCATAGAGGGTGACTTGAGTGAAGTGGGGAGTCTCCTGCTTTAAATTTTGTATTGAGGATTCCCATTTATTTTACAACCCTGGAAAATCAGGATCGATACCTGCAGACCATCCAAGTGTCCCTATTTTCCAGGGACAGTTCCGGATTTACAGAAGCTCTTCCGGTTTCTGATTTCATTCCTGGAATGTCCCCCTTTTCCTTGTTGTTGTTGTTTAGCCGTTTAGTCGTGTCCGACTCTTCGTGACCCCGTGGACCAGAGCATGCAGGCACTCCTGTCTTCCACTGCCTCCCGCAGTTTGGTCAAACTCATGCTGGTAGCTTCAAGAACACTGTCCAACCATCTTGTCCTCTGTCGTCCCCTTCTCCTTGTGCCCCCAATCTTTCCCAACATCAGGGTCCATTCCAGGGAGTCTTCTCTTCTGATGAGGTGGCCAAAGTATTGGAGCCTCAGCTTCAGGGCCTGTCCTTCCAGTGAGCACTCAGGGCTGATTTCCTTAAGAATGGAGAGGTTTGATCTTCTTGCAGTCCATGGGACTCTCCGTTTCCTTAGGGCATCCCTATTTTCATCGGAGAAATGTTGGACAGTATGGGGTTATGTGACCCCCAAGCCAAGGAGATAAGTAACTGTAGAACCTTTAGAAGACATCTGAAGGCAGCTGTGTATAGGGAAGTTTTTAATGTTTAATGTTTTATTATGTATTTATATATGTTGCTTACAGGCTTCCTACAGGCATCCGGTTAGCCACGGGTGGGGGGGGGGGAGAGACTGGATTTATTTGGCTTGATCTAGCAAGGCATTATATAGTTGCATATTGCAATTCCATGAAAAAAATATCAAAGAAGGTTGCTGCAATTAAAATACAAAAAGAACAATACAAAAATTAAAGCAGATCCCCAGCTGACTTTTACGGAGCATGTTTTCCTTAATTGTTCGCATAAGCCTGGCAGCAAAGAAAAGTCTGTGGCAAATGCCCGAAATACAACATTGAAGGCCAGGCCCAGCCCTCAGATGATGAAAGCTCCCAAGGCACTGTCACCGTGGGTGTTCCCACCCACCCCAAATGTGTCCACATTTCCAGTGAGATCTCACAAGATCTTGCGGCGTGCAGGAGATTTTGGTGTGATCTCGCTGGAAGTCCACAAGTGGCAGAGGCAGCTCTTCCCAGTTTGCTTAAAGCAGTATAATGGAAAATGGTGCGCTGCTGAGGGCACTGGTAGAATCTGTCGGAAGCATAGGTGCCAACTCTTATGGGGCCAGCTCTTTTGCTCACCCCCAATAATTTTTGGGAGAAGCCAGGACCCCCCATTCAATGTGGAAGAAAAAAACTAGGCGGCAGAGAAGGCCAAGTGTTGAGCCAAGAGCAGCACACCTTCAGTGGCTGGTTCTTCTTCCTCCACCTCTTCCTCCTCCTCCTCCGGCCGCATAGGGAGCAGCCCCCAGCCAGTGGCAGGAGGGAGAGGAGGAGAAGGAGGCCAAGTGTCGGAGAAGAGGAACCACTGGCCATCAAAGCCATGCTGCCACAACATTCAGCTCTGCCCCATGGCTCTTCCCAACATCTGATATTGTGTGTGTGATGTCATGTGTGTGATGTCACATGCACATCATCGGGGGCACCCAATCTCCTTCACAAGTTGGAGCCTCTGGTTATAAGTGCACACCACAAGAGTAGACCAATGACACCAAAGGCTCAATGTTAGGTTGGTGTCCAAGGTGTCTCACTAACTTGGGGCTGCAACCAATAATACTTCTACAGATGATCGTGGTCATTAAACTGGTGTCAGTGTTGCTCTTGAGAGCTCAAGAGGAAGGAGGAAGGCAGCAAAACTAGAATTCATAGTCTCTGACTGTCATTGGCTCCAGGTTCCCTTGTCGTTGGATCTAGCTCCACCTGCTCTTGGTCTCCTTGCCTTCTGTCCTACTAGTCCAAACAGGCACCTGCCACCAGTGTCTGGGGCAGTGAGTTCCACAGGTTCACCAAATTCTGCATAAAGGATGTTGCAGATGCTCCCTTATGTTTTCTTCAGGTCTCCATTCAGGCATCCCCACTCCCCAGCCAGCATGGTGTAGTGGTTAAGAGCGGTGGACTCGTAATCTGGTGAACCGGGTTCGCTTCCACATGCAGCTCCTGGGTGACCTTGGGTTAGTCACACTTCTCTGAAGTCTCTCAGCCCCACTCACCTCACAGAGTGTTTGTTGTGGGGGAGGAAGGGAAAGGAGAATGTTAGCCGCTTTGAGACTCCTTAGGCTAGTGATAAAGCGGGATATCAAATCCAAACTCCTCCTCCTCTTCCTCCTCCAGTCCCACCACTGTCATTTTCACCTCTCGGCTGCTGCCAGTTCCAACTGCAGAGGCTCATTGCGGAGGCTCTTAAATAAGCCACCCGCACCCCCCATCTTAAGCGAGCGAATAAAGAACAAGGGGAGGGAGGAAAAACAACCTTTCTGGAGCATGAATTACCTCTCTCACCTCTAGGGATGTGATTATTCTTGGCAGACTGCTCTTGTGAAGCTGCTGTCCACACAACTGTCAACAGCTTGCTCTCGAGCCGACAGAGCTGCAGAGGGAGCAGCTTCAAACGCGGAGGTGCCCTTCCCTGCCGGCGGTAATCTTTGCTAAAGAGGAAGGTGTCATGCAGACAATCCTCCTCTCCAACAATTTTGCAGCGCTGCACCCAGCCATGGGCAACTTCGCTGGGCCCTGGGGCACTGGATTGGGGGCGACACATGAGTGCACTGCACATACAGAGAGAGAGCAGGAAAGAGAAGCCACATGGCAAGATATCAGCAATCCCATCATGCTGCTCTGCTCAGCTGATTAGTGCTGGGAAGGGTTGCCAATCAGCACACTCCTCAGCTACTCCCAGTACCAATCAGCTGAGCAGGGGGGGAAGGACCACCGCCCACCACCCTTGCTGATTGGTGTAGACAATCATAGAGTCATAGAAGTGCAGAGTTGAAAGGGATTCTGAGGGTCATCTAACAGGGATCATCCTCCCCTTAGCCCAGTGGTTCTCAACCTATGGGTCCCCAGATGTTGTTGGACTACAACTCCCATCATCCCCTTGCTAGCTAGGGGTGATGGTAGTTGTAGTTCAACAACATCTGGGGACCCACAGGTTGAGAAAGGCTGCCTTAGCCAATCCAAGAGTTATTTCCTGGGCAGCACAGAGAGCACAAGGCTAATAATGAGGAAGGCGTGCAGCAGGGACGACTCTCCTCCCTGGTCAACTGTACTCCCCACAGCCTCCCAACTATTTGGGTTGCAGAGACCCTGCTTTGGGGGGTCAGCTGCATGACACCATCTCACCCACCCAGACACTCCTGACAAAAGAGGAACCAAAGGTGAATCTAATGTCATATCAGTGGTGGATCATCATCATCATCATCATCTTACTTGTATGCCGCCTTTTCCACAGTTGAAAACAATGCTCAAGGCAGCTTACAACATGATAAGATTTACATAATTACAAACATAACTGAAGTCATAAACAATAAATAAAACACATTAAAAAGTACACAATCAAAAGAATACATCAAAGGAATTTACGTGGAAAAAGTAGAATTTCTGACAGATATTGAGTGAATCCAGAAAATGATTAGAGTGAAAGGAGAGTAAAGTCAAGGTAGAAGAAGAGATTAAAGAAATAATGAAATGTGTTTACGCTAGTTGGAAAAATAAAGTAGTGTAACAAGAACGGCTGAAAGTCAAGTCACTTGGTGGGTGTCCGTGTGGGGTAGGTGTGTAGGTATGTTGATACGTACAGTATAGGTAGGTATTATATAATGTAGGTAAGTTTTATGTTATGAAAATAAGGTAGTGTGTTGTGTATGAGTATTGTGTAAATGTATACGTATGCATTTTATATGTTAATAAAATTTAAATAAATAAAAATTAAGAAAAAACAAAAAAACCCAAAGAAGTTGTAATGAGTATGGGCTGCTCGTGCGTAAGTTGCCGCCTCTCCTGGCTATGTTGCCTTGTTTAAACCTTTCTGTCTGGACAGCCCTTCACTTCGTGGCTGCCTCAGTCGCTAGCAGAATCCGTCAGTGGGCGTTTCTTAAACCTTTTCCAACATAAAAGTTGTTTGACGCCAAGTCTCCTCCTACTCTCCCTGCGCGGAAGCCTTCTGCGCAGGGAGGGCGTGGGTAGCGGAGGACCCGTGCTCTCCCCGCTGGTGTCCGGTGAAGAGTCCTGGAGCCCTCTCGCCGATCCCCCATCTGCCCCCCTTTATCTCTGGTGTTGCGCTGATTTGCTTCCCCATCTGCTGAGCTGCCTCTCTCCCTGCTGGGCCCTTCTCCAGCATCATTTGAGAGCCTCCCCTCCACCTCTAGCTCCGATGTCAGTTCCCTGACAGAAGTCATAAACAATAAATAAACCACATAAAACATACACAACCAAATGGAAAACCATTTCCACATAAATCAAAATCTAAAACTAAGAATACAGCATTAATATCACAGTTTAAAATGACATAGGTTAAAAGAAAGAATCGTGAAGCTGAGGCTCCAATACTTTGGCCACCTCATGAGAAGAGAAGACTCCCTGGAAAAGACCCTGATGTTGGGAAAGATGGAAGGCACAAAGAGAAGGGGACGATACGGGACGAGATGGTTGGACAGTGTTCTTGAAGCTACCAACATGAGTTTGACCAAACTTCGGAAGGCAGTGGAAGACAGGAGTGCCTGGCGTGCTCTAGTCCATGGGGTCACGAAGAGTCGGACATGACTAAACGACTAAACAACAACAGCAAAAGAAAAATGAAGAGTGGTGCTGCTAAAATGCAAAAAGTGTGGGTTTGGAACGATATCTGCAATTCAGCTTGCGTATAGTTTTGGAATGTGTCAATTAGGTTGTATCATATCAAAATGTGAGCCAAACCAAATTCTACCTCCATTCCCAATGGCAGTGGTGGAGCTAGCCACGCGGGCACCCGGAGCAGCATGCACCTGGGAGTGGGGCGATGTGCCCACGGGGGCAGGTCGATCCGCCCACAGCGGCGATTGTCATGGTGGCACGATCCTCCGGGCGGGGGCCGACCGCGGCGCAGTGGCACAATCCACCCAGGGGGGATTTTGTGACCCCCCCGGGATGACACACGGGGCGGTCTGCCCCCATCACACACACCCTTCCTACGCCCCTGCCCAATGGAAAGATATGCCCTGTGCAATCTGCTAGTACCGAATGGATCCGTGTTTGTCCAACTATAAGCAGTTTCCTCTGCCTCCAATGTCCTCACTTCAATGGTTTTCTTTTTCTTTTTCCTTTTGCAAGCGGGGAGGGCAAATGGGATCAGCAGACACTTGGGGGTCTGGGGTATATGGAAGAAGCAGCAAAACGTAACCCACCTTCAGAAGCCGGCATTTCTGCGATCAGAAACAGCTGCGTCTCCTTTAATGCTGTCCCACAGCTTGTGACGTCACACACAGCAATCAAACCCTGGACCCTTCACATTTACAAGCAATATGCTTCAAACTTTAGGGATTGGGTTACCAATATATGTGTGCTGCGATTTGCTCCTGAATGGAAACAGCAACCAGAGGTCTCCTGCTGTCTTTGTTCTTTTGTAGGGACTCAGAAAGGGCCATAAATGCATTCTTTCCCCCTCCCCAGTCAAAAAAAAAAAGCTCATTTTTATTTTATCTCCCTGCTTTATTTTATTTTTAAGCCTGCAACCATGGGGTGGGGGAGAGTAAATAAATGAGCAGGCCTCCGTTCGGTTTTACGACGTGTCTCGTCCACTTTCCCCCCTCCCTTCTTCCAAAAAAAAAAAAGAGAGAGAGAGAGAGAGGAAAGAATTCAAGATCAGAACAGTAACAGGGGCCAAGTAGGAGGAGCTGAGGGGAGGGGGAGAGTTTGTATTCTAATTTCAAACTGCAGGAGTCCCAGGTGTATTGTCTTGGGTTTCCTGTAATTTACTCGCAGAATAAGCAGTCTGGAGGAAAATGTTTGCAGCACTGTACATGCGTATTAATTACACAGCAGGATAAAATGATTTCTTTGTGATGGAAAAGGTAAGCGATTTACAGGGGAAAGGGGGGGTGGAGTAGTGGCTCTCTACATTTGCTGACAGACAATCTCACATCTGGAAGATTGGGGCTCTCTCTTCAACTCAAGCACCCATTGGATATTCTGGGGTGTATTTGACTGCTCCACAACTTCCAAATGCAATGGCGAACTCCAAGACAGAGCCAAGTGCTATATGTGACTTATTTCTAAAGGCTTCCCTTGTGGCCAGAGAACGGCTGACTCTCCAGAGATATTGTTGGCCTACATTTTCAGTCACCCCCCTGACCACAGACAATGCTGCTCGGTGCCGATGGGAGTTGTAGTCCAACAACTTCTGAAAGGCCAAAGGTTCCCTGCTTTGGGACAAGAGGAGCCCATGTGTTGCTGTGCAGAGGTTGCGGGACTCTAGATCCCATCATCCCCAACTGTTGGCCATGTTGATTGGGTCTGATGGGCATCAGAGTCCAGCCGCATCTGGAGGGCATCCATGCATTGTGAGCAAGGTTGCCCAGAGAGCACCTTTGCCCCTTCCGCTTTGCCCATTTAAAACTCCCTTAAAACTTCAGTAAAATATATTGTTGTTTTTGAGAAAGAGCAAAGCAAGGAGGACCCATGTTGCTGAGGAGTTCTGATGCTGCCATCACCTTGTGCTGGTGGGTCAGCAAACTGGGATAAGTACAAAGCGGCTGGTCTGGTCTCAGGTGGCACAATGTCTCCTACTGACCCTAATGGGAAGTGGTGCCCTGACTCACAGCCAATTTTGTTTGCCTTCAGTTATGTCACCACATTGCCAAATTTGATTGGTTGAAAAAACATTGTGAATCACATTCACCGGACAATTGGGTTGGAGGCTGCAATGCTTCTGGACACCAGCAGCTTTTTATTCCACAGGAGGGGAGAAGGATCTTGTGGGTTTCCCACAGGAATCTAGTGGATCACTGTGAGAACAGGATCCTGGACCTAATGGGCCACTGGTCTGATCCAGCAGGCTCTTCTCATGTTCTTATGGTCTTAATTCCTCACTGGCTACCATTGAGTTTCCCCTTATCCGATAGATCACCACTCAAGAGGAGATGCCTCCTAATGTCTCACGAAGACCTCCACAGTGTTGCTCTTCCTTCTCCTGGTACCCCTCCAGTTTGCTGTTGATGGCCAAACATGACTACAGCCAAGCTGAAATTTACCTATTTTTCTTTGCCAAGGTCATCCTAGGTATAACCTAACAGCTCTCAGCACCCTTAACAACAACAACAAAGTCTCCCAGAATTCTTAGGGGCATGCCATGACTGTTGAAGGGGGCACCATAGTGCTTTAAATGTGTGGTGTGAATGTGGCCAATGTCTCCCCAAGAAGATCACCTATAGCAAGAGCGTTCTGTGCCAATGGCTTCTGGAGTTGTTCCTGAAAACTCACTGGGAACCCACAGCCTTCCTAGATAAGCTCTCTGGTCCCTATTTGTTACATTTGGCCATTTGCCCCTGCAGTGGCAACTTGGTTTGGAGATCTGGTAGCCCAGTCCCTCCCCAAATGTCTACTCCCTTTCTTGCAAGCGTGAGAAAGGACAGCGGGTGGGTGCATCAACCCCCTCCATGCCCTCTTGTGCGCCTGCAGATTCTTTCGGGAGAAAATAGAAGCTTAATTTTGTGGAGGTGTTTTGTTGACACCCAAATGGAAAGCATGTGTCTCTTGCCTCCCTTATTGTGCTTCCAAGTAATGAAAGTATTTA